TGTCTGGTGTGGAGCTATGAGGTTGTGTGTGTTTGTATGTGACCAGGCCTCATGGGTGTCGTTTACTTCATTTTCTTACCATCTCTCCGAGGAGCCATCAGCAAGGACCAGAACATCACGTTGATATGTTCTCGCATTACCGCAACCACTCGTGTGTAGTGCGGATAGAGGCGGTGAGGTGAAGGGCTGTCCCACCAGAGGGTTTTATAGGTCAAGGCGATATACTAAAGAAGATATCGGGTCGGCCAGTATGGGAAGCTCGGAGGCGGGGACTCTCTAAATCAGTCACCATACAGTACAGGTACTTCTTTCTCGGGTGCGGCTGAAGCCATCAGTGTGACGAGTGAGCTAGTTTGTGGTCTGTTTGGAGGCGGTAGTCTGGCTGTTAAGGATGTGAGTGGCTGCCTGATGTGGGTGGCTGCCTGAGGTGGGTGGCTGCCTGAGGTGGGTGGCTGCCTCAAGTGGGAGGCTGCCCGGTGCGGATGGCTGCCTGGTATGGGTGGCTGCCTGATATGGGTGGGCTGCCTGGTATGGGTGGGTGCCTGGTATGGGTGGCTGCCTGGTGTGGATGGCTGCCCGATGAACAGTTGATGGTACATTCCTGAAATCTTTATGAGACTCCTTGCGTGATTTTTATTGCCATTTCCTTAGATACTACGTAGAGGAATAGGACTGGCGGCAGAGTGATGTGGGAGGCCGTCTGGGTATCTGTTCCTCACCAAGACAAAATGGTCAGTTATCCCGGGAGAAGAGAAGGTTTAGCACTGTTGGGAGTCTGGATTTGTAGGAACTCATCGTTCTCCCGCAATTTGTGACTGTCGAAGTTCAGGACACACACCAGGAAGTATTCGTTAACCTTGGTACGGAAGGATACTGCGTAAAGGGGTACAAGGCGTCGTGGGCATCAAGGATAACATATTTCTTCCAATTAGTGTCATCATCCGTCATAATTTAGAGTTAGAGATACACCAGGCATGTGAATTTAATCTTTCGTGGACTGTGTTTCTTAACTCACCGCGTCTGTCTTTTCGGGAAAGTTTTACGTCACAGAATTCTTAGGGAGGACTTTCAAGCTTTACAATTGGATTTCTTTTTTTTTTGTATAAATTGTAACTGGCTTAAATTTTTATCTGTGGTCTTGAGGAGTGAACCATACTTGATTCTATCACTCTGTCTTACTCCCTGACCACTTTACACACTTCACCATTACTTCTTATTGAATGGTGGTTTTAATTTTCTTGCTCACCATAGTTAATTACCGAGGCCTCAATGACACCGTCTGTACCCTGCCGTCACCCCACTGAGACACTCACTCAGTCAAATTCCCTATGTGGTCACTCTCCATGTACCCTGTCGACAGAAGACCACTTACAACCCCCATTTTAGTAAATAGTGAACATAGTACGTATCGTTCACAAGCAACACGGCAGTTAGCTTCATTTAGTACTGTTCGCCACACCAGCTGAGTTAATGTGTCGGTATCAGCTGCGTCATCTCCAGCCCCAGCGGTTTTTGTCACTGCTCTGTACATGATTAGTATTATAATATATTCAGAATATTTAACGGACTACTCTAAATATTGCGACTCTTCCATTGTTCAGTGTGGAAGAAGTGTAGACTGTGTATATATTATGAGTAATGGAAACAGTATGAATATGAAATTTAACTACCGTATGTTGTAGTAAGTGAATAGTAGAATTATTATGATCGAGGGCACTTGAGTGCTTGTTATCATGAAAACATGTAGACGGGCGGAGTAAGTGAGAGCCCCTGGAGGCGACACGCTATACCCCAACACTGGTGTCGGATTGCTGGGGAACAGTGACGCCTCAGTCCATGGGGGAGGAATCTTACACCCTCCCGCTGCTCCTCCTCTCCGTACTGCCCCTATGATGGCTTAGTCCAAGGGTAAAAACTCCTACAGTCCCTCCCCCATCCTTTCCACACTCCAGGATGGCTCAGCGTACATGAAGAGTCCTACACTCCCATCTTTCCCCCACACCCCATCCTTCCCACACCCCAGGATGGCTCAGCGTACATGAAGAGTCCTACACTCCCATCTTTCCCCCACACCCCATCCTTCCCACACCCCAGGATGGCTCAGCGTACATGAAGAGTCCTACACTCTCATCGTTCCCCCACACCCCATCCTACCTACACTCCAGGATGGCTCAATGTACATGAAAAGAGTCCTACACCCTCTCCCATTCTTCTCACAGCCCTAATAATGGCTCAGTCCATGGGGAAGAATCCTGCCACTCCCCTCTCCTTCTCATTTTACACCAGTCATAGCTCAGGCTTTAGAAAGATGCATCCTACAACCTTCAGGCTCCCTCCTTTTTTTGCTGCCCAGTTCACGAGGAAGGATGATAACTTATCGATGATGGAGAGTGCTACACACACCCTGCCCCCTCCCGCCCTCTTGCCTCAGTTTAATTAAGGGGAAGGGTCCTACATCCTTCTCACTCCTTCATTCTAACAAAGGACCAGGTCCCACTCCTTCATTCTACACAAGGATCAGGTCCTACATCCTTCCACTCCCTTCTATCCAAGGATCAGGTCCCACTCCTTCATTTTATACAAGGATCAGGTCCTACATCCTTCCACTCCCTTCTATCCAAGGATCAGGTCCCACTCCTTCATTCTATCCGAGGACTAGATCCCACTCCTTCATTTTATACAAGGATCAGGTCCCACATCCTTCATTCTAGCCGAGGACCAGATCCCACCCCTTCATTCTACACAAGGATCAGATCCCAAATCCGTCCCACTCCTTCATTCTACCCGAGGATCATTCCCTTGTCAGTTCACGCACCTTAAAAACATGTTTTTGTCTCAACGTGAAACAATAAAACTTTACGACTAGATGGAGTCCGGCATTCTCTGGAGGTCTGTGTCTCCCTCTACACATAAACCTTCTAGGGACGATAAGTCTTCTGTTTTAAATTAAATTCTCATGATATTAGTTAAGAATGTTCCTCTAAGTAAGGTCTCGTATGGGAGGGTACTTCTTGACCTGCTTGTGATGCTGTTTTACCATTATTAGAGCGAACTCATCACTGGTAATGTCACCGTCTTTGGAAACACCCACACACACATATAGTTTAGTCAGCTTAATTTCTCCCCGCACCGTTACTAACAGACCCACGCTAAACGCAGCTATAATAACCAGTTCTTGGTTGTGTTTGTACTTTACAACTACTTGTATTTTGTTGAAACAAAAACCAGGTAACTCAAGTATTTTTTTTTACAGTACTTAGTATTGTTAACTACTACTGTCAAAATACAAATAAATTAATTACCCTTTCAATGGTCTTTATCAAACTTTGTTATTTATCTCGCTTTTTCACAAAAGAAAAATCTCTTTTGGAGTCTTTTACTATTTACCCACCATACCGACTTATGCATAACTTATAGCTTACACCACTCTTCATGCAATCGTTTCCACACTTCTGAACTCTTAACTCAACCTCCTCAGTTCTTATTTTAAAGTTCACCTTTCTTGATCAGCACTCGACATTGTCTTAACCAAGTAATTTGTTGGACTTTATCTGTTTAGATTTCATTACGTTGGAAAAGGTGATGTTCCTGATGAAATACTAGGAAGCGTCACAGGTGAACACACACAAGGGAACTTTTCAACTGTAGATCCTTTGGTCCTGTCATTTCCTTCATCCAGTCTCTGCTACTGCTAACATTGTCACCCCGGGGCCCTGTAATGGTGGCGCGTGGTGTGTCTTGTGTGTTGATCTCGGTCTGTAGCCGTCCATCTGGAACTCTCCTTGACCAGCTCCTGTAGCTCAAGCGGCAAAGGGGATCAGTTGGCGTAGTCGGAAGACAGCATCTTCCGCTGCGTTACCCTTCACGCCGTGCTGGAGGCTTGCTGCTCGCTGCATCATCTCTGTGCCACCTGAAAGGTCAGGACCAAGATAGGTGCGGGTAGGGGAAGGGTTTGGAGGGGAGGGTGTAGAAGGGTCATTCTGAGGTGACGGCAAGGAGGAGTCTCCTAGTCAAAGGGATAGAAGGGATATAATCCTACAGAAAAACTGGAATAGGAAGGAGATGGTCTACTGCAGGAGAGTGTAAGGAGGGAGATGGGTCTTGTGAACGATGAGAAGGTTGTTATATAAGATTTCAGGAGAGATGAGGGAAGGAGATGATAATAATTCATGGCATGAGAGACTTGGAGGAGGGTGAATCGGTCTTCAGGAGGGGTCAGGACTGTGATTAGTTTTCAAGACGAGAACAATAATTGAGTGTGATGGGTTGTCGTAAGGGTGGCAGAAGGAGGAGCGGCTTAATACTACTGTAGTTAGTTGGAGGGGTTTAGAGGACCACACACACACACGAAACTCATCAATATGCAGCCCAATCCCAAGAAAATACAGCTCGACCACCTACCTGCCTACTCGACCCTTACACCGCATTACGATTTTCTCTGAGGGATATGTTAAGTTAATTTCTTGTTTATTACCCACCACTTTGTGACGCAATAATTTTAACAGTATCTTCACCTGAGAATCACTGATGTGTAACACTTAAAAGATTATATTTTAGGTGACCGTTACTGTATTTTACTCGCGCGCGTGTATGTGTGTGTGTGTGTGTGTGTGTTTTAGTGTCATTTACTTTCATTTTGCTCATATGTGTGATTTTTTTTTATTCTGTGAAGTTATGAGTTAAATTCTGTAATTCCGCCCGTTGATGGAGTGCTTAAGGGATCGTTTATCGTATGTTACACCATCACCACACACACTGTAGTACGATGGTCACGTGGCTTCAGTCTGAATTAATCTCACACCATTGGTAACTTTTGTCATTCTACCCACAAGCATGACCTTAATTTTAACATCAAAGATTTTCATTCTAATATTTCATTTTTTTTTCTTTAATTTGTCTGTTTATCGGGATTTTATTTATCTTTGACATTTAGTGTACATGTAAGTTAAATAATGTGAAATGTGGTCAATACTCATACGATTTCTTTATTTTTGTTCCAGGGACGAAGAGGAAAAAAGATGTGAGTACTGTTTCATTGTTTGTAATATTAAGTATTTATATGATAAGTTGAGATGAACTTAGGTGCCTCGAGGTGTATATGCTGTAGGTATACATAGGTTTTCAGTAGGATATGTTTACTGATATTCTGAGTTGGGTATGTTTTCTGTACTGGCATCTTAGTTACCTGTACTTTCATTTGTTCTTGTCTCAGTACTTTTTTGAGGTACTGGGGTTTATAATGGACAGTGAAAAGGATAATTTATCATAAGTAATTAATGATTGATAGAGGATCTGATCAACAAATTTTCCTCATTTACCTTGAACAGTGAAGGATTATGTACTGTATATTAACTGTTATTAGCGTCTGAAAAATATAATCATGTGGGAATAATTTGATCATTAGGGTGATGTTTACATTTTTTTTTCATTCTAAAGAATTTAAAGTTTGGGAGGATCATTGTATCTTGTGATTATCTGATAGACGATGATAATGATTGTGAGTTCTTAAGTGAAATGCTGAAGTAGTCGGGAAAATTATATGGAGTGAAAAACAGTAAATTAAGTGATGAGTTTGATGAAGGTAGTATAACTGGCCTCTCCTCCCCCACAGGGTCTCGACGGGCCGGAGATAGACAGTGGACCTCCACAACAATGGGTAAGTGTATACAATGGCGGCGTCTGGGGGATTACCCCCATCTGTACACACGCCTGGCTCATTCACCTCCACTATACTGCCCTCACGTCGCCGTCTATGTTGTTGGGCTGCTTCTTCATCCACTAGTCGAAATATTTTTTATATCGTTCAATAATACACTTGTCCTCTCTTCTTGATCGCCTGTAGTGACTCTACGTAAAGCATATAATTTCTACAACACTAAAAGCGTTTGATAAAAGACTTACATAGCGATAAACATAAGTGTGTTACGTAAACAAAGCTGTGGCCTTCAGGCGGGTGCAGTTTAACAGTGTTGCAGCCTAGCAACGCTTATGTTTACTCTTGAATTTGATCTTGTTTATCCTGTGGATATTGTTGATGGTTATAGCGAGAGCGCATGATGCTTGGCCTCTATATTGCCTGGTGTGTGTCATGCGAGACCCTCTGAACCCTGGTAAAAAGTAGCGGAGCTGGGTAGTGTGGGCAGGTCTGGCACGTTCACCCTCCGCCAAGCACGTCACTTCCCATACACAGTTAATGTTATTGTAGAAGAAAGTCATCACGGGAGAGGGAGGAGAATCTTCATGCGGTAACTCACAGATATGAGACTTTTATTGGATTTGTCTGTCAGCTGGAGAACGAAGACTACTCTACTGCCTCGGCTCTTTGGTCATAACCTTAAAGATTCCACTAGCAGGTTTTTTATTTTATTTATTTATTTTTTTATTTGAAAATCCACCGGCCTTTGGGTTTTCCTAAGGTGTTGATCTAACGTGAAAGTATGAGTGGGGGGGGTGGAGAGTATTCTTGGCGTGTTGCTAGAGTGACCAAGTGGTGTTTTGGTTATACTGAACCTACTGTTGAAGGAAAAACAAAATCTTAGTAATCTTGTCTTTTTTCTCTATTACCCAAGAGTCAAAAGTTAGTGGAAGTGTTACATTTGTACTCGTAACACACTTAAAGCTAGAGTCAAACTTGTGGCAGTAGGAGTTATTAATAATACCGTCTGATAGAATCATCCACGGTGCTCAGTCATGTGTCGGGGTATTTAATCTGGGTGCTTGTTGACCTATCAGAGAGTAACCAAGTACCTCATGAATATTATTGTCTTTGTGTGATTAACATATCGCCTGTGAGGGAAGTGTTCGTTCTCTTCTCTTTCACACACACACACACACACACACACACACACACACACACACACACACACACACTAATTTCAAAACTACATTAACTCCATAAGTGATCAAACAATTGGAAATCGAACGACAGGTCACCAAGGAAAAATATATTTAATTAAATCGTCAACAATATCGAGTTTTCAATCAGATAACCCTCGTGTGTGTGTGTGTGTGTGTGTGTGTGTGTGTGTGTGTGTGTGTGTGTGTGTGTGTGTGTATTGTTAAGGTGTACAGGTAAGACGGGTAATTTCACTTCACTTCACTTGTTGTTCATTAAAATTCCGACCCTCGTGAGTATGACTTTGAGACCCCAAAGTTTGAGTAACTATTAGCTTGTAATGAGTTCAGAATTAGTGCCGCTGCTGTGTTCAAAGTTGTTCCGCGGTTGTTGGCTTCTTCATTAGAGTGCGTATTAACATTGTGTAAATGGTGCGGGTGTGTGGAGTGTGTATAGTGTGTGGTGGAGTGTGTCCGCGGTTGTTGGCTTCTTCATTAGAGTGCGTATTAACATTGTGTAAATGGTGCGGGTGTGTGGAGTGTGTATAGTGTGTGGTGGAGTGTGTGTGTGTGTGTGTGTGTGTGTGTGTGTGTGTGTGTGTGTGTGTGTGTCGTTGTAGTAAGTGTTGCAGTAGAGTGTAGCATGAGTATGTGTGTGTGTGTCTCGTTGTAGTAAGTGTTGCAGTAGAGTGCGTAGCATGAGTATGTGTGTGTGTGTCGTCGTCGTTGTAAGTGTTGTAGTAGAGTGCGTAGCGTGTGAGAGTGCGGGTGCTGGGTGGAGCCTCGACAGTGACTTTACGCCATATTTCATGCAGTTTTGCCCGCGGCCCCCAAACGGAGGCTGTCAACTTTGGGTGTAAATATTGTACTCGGTTCATTAAGGGTGGTCGTAATTAACACGTGTGCCCGGCTTAACGAGTCCCAACAGCGAGAACTGTGCTCGTTTAGGCTCATTTTTGCCCAGTAGAGCGTGAAACTCCCACACCCCAGAGAAATGGAGTGCACCCCGAGTTGCAATGGCCAAATAAAGGGGAGGGGAGAATCTTTGTTATGCTATAGTGGCGGGAGGAAGGGAGGGGAGAGGACCGGGAAAGAGGGGACAATCTGTAAGGGGTTGAGGGGGCCCAAGGGCTGTCTCAAGGTAGAGGTGCTTCATTCCCTCTCACTTCCCCTCTCTTAGTGGTGCATCATCCCTAACCCCCTCACCCCTCTCACAAGGTAGTGGTGCCTCATCCCCTCCCATCACCCCTCTCACAAGGTAGTGGTGCCTCATCCCCTCCCATCACCCCTCTCACAATGTAGTAGTGCCTCATCCTCACCCCTCACCCCTCTCACAAGGTAGTAGTGCCTCATCCTCACCTCTCCTCACAGTGTAGTAGTGCCTCATCCCTCCCTCACACCCCTGTCACCCCTCTCACAGTGTAGTAGTGCCTCACCCCTCTCCCCTCCGTCACCCCTCTCACAAGGTAGTAGTGCCTCATCCTCACCCCTCTCCCCTCTCACAATGTAGTAGTGCCTCAGCCTCGCCCCTGTGATTCAGTAGTCAGTGAGGCCTACCAAGGGACAACCTATTTAGTCAGTGTTTACGAATACCACCTGGACGACTGAGTATGAGGGTATCTGGCTGGTTGCTTCCTCAAGATCCCCACGTCGATGTTTCTTATATTTTCCTGATAACTAATCTCGGGGCGGTCTTTTATACACTTGTCCTCGTGTTGTCCTCCTCCTACTGCATATATATTGGCTTCATAGTGCACATCTGTTTGACCTTGTTGGTGTAGTGAATCATAATTTTTTTTTTCATACGCAGTTACCAGACAGTGTTTTTTTTTCCTTTTGGTTTATCTCTCTTATCTCTTTGGTCTACACTCAGCTGATAAGGAGTATACGAGTGCTTGTAAACGCTTTCCCGGAAGTTAAGTGTTGAAGTGAGTCGGTGTAAACGGTACTGTAGGTATTCATAGTGTATAGTTTGTAAAGTGTGGTGATGTTACGTGTGGTGTGAGGACGCGGCAGGGAGAGTACCAGGACCTCGATGATACCGTCACTCATGTTATTAACTTGACCGAAGCGAGATGTTTAACTTATGAGTAATATATTTAAGGTTAGGTTAGGTCAGACATGCTGATATGACTAATGTTGTATCAGCCGTTGTAATTACACAGAAATATATATTTTGTTCCTTTATTCATTAATATAAAGTCAACAAGGGGTGTAGTGGAGCGAAGCCGTAAAGCTCCTCGGCGGGCCGTCGTAAAGTGAGGGGCTGCCAAGTGACAGTGAGCAGTGCCACTGGCCCGTCCTTACTCACCTCCTAACACACGCCTGGGGATACTCGGGGCGCGTGGCTCTCTGTCCTGGGGGGCGTCTTGCTGCCTGATCCATACTAGTGTGGATCGTGTTTGGATCTTGTGTGGGTAGTGTGGATCCAGACACCGTAGATCGTGTGTGTGTGTAACGTGGATCTTCAGGGGTGGGTGTTGTCTTGCCTTGCTGCCTCCTACACCAGATAGCGTGAAGATCATGTGCCGTGCTGTGTGGCTCAGATGTTATTGGTACTGTGTCTTGCTGTGTTGCGTTTAGGTGCTATATCCCGGTGTGTGTGTGTGTTCCGTGTGAGGCTTGAGTGTTGCGGATCTGTGTTTCCTCTGAGGTGTTGTGTGTATAGTATTTAAGCCAGTGCTGTTGGGTCTTGTGGGTGTATTGTCTGTAGTGTTGGGTGTATTTGACTATTTTAGGTGTAGTATCTGGTGTTGAGGAGTGTTGTAGATGGTGTTTAATATTTTGTGTTCTATTGAATTCATACATCTTTTAGGGGGGCGGGGCGATATACCGGGGAATAATGGTCTGTCTGTCTTTCTGTTTCTGTCTGTCCGTCCATACGCGTGTTTACTGTATACATCCGTCTTTCCCTGTTGTTTATGAGCAGAATTAAAGCAAAAAAGAAAGAAAGAAAGCGTAGAGCAGTGACATTTTTGGGGGGCTTATATTATTATAGGTGGGAGTTTTAAGGAAGATAGGAGTGGATAGGTGGGAGTTTGGCAGTGAGACGAGGAGAGACACTAACAGGTTCCTGAAGCCTCGTCAGGACTCTTCACCCCCCCATCTCACCTCTCCCGCCCCTACCCAACCCTAACCCCCCTCCTCTACCCCCCTCTCCCCCCCCCCCCTTCCCCTCCCTTCATGATACTCTCAGTGATAACGTATATTATTACTTCCATCTCCCTCAACTCCTTTGCTTCCATTTATTTATTTATTTATTTACTTTTTTTTACGAGTTTAAACAACTTGGGTCCGCCTTGGGGGTCACTTAACCTACTGCTGTGGCGATAGAAGGTGTTGCCATGGTGTTGGTTCATAATCAGGGAAGTATTGGTATATTGTGAAGCTCAGGAGAAGTTTAAATGACTAAGATAATATGATCAAGGGAAAGAATGATCTGCGTTTCATCCATGCGTATAAACTCTACTGGTTGGCTATTCATTAATTTTAGTGAGATGGGTCGCTTAATATGAAAACCACCACCACCCTCTTGTGTGTGTGTGTGTAGTATTATGTGCGTGCGCCATTGTTGTATTAATCACGGGAGGAATTTTTTTTTTTATGTTAGAGGAAATTAAGAGCACAAATGTAACACACCAAAAACAATGTCATCGAGGCAAGAGTTCAGGAGATAATGTGTAAATTTTGCCAAGTTAAAGACTGGCTGGCATGATGAGCGACACACTATTGTACAACATGTCACTTTTGCATCTAGTAAATATGTTATGAAGTGAGTTAGTGACTAATTCCTTGGATCCTTGTTTTGGTTCGGTAGATATTGTTGAAAAAATACACAGTGGTTATTGTTGTGGAAAGATGAACATTACGACGATAAAGAATAAATGGTGGTGTCTCTACATGATTAATATTTTGTGGTTTATAATATTTGAGGTAAAAAATATTAAT